TAAATTCTGCATGCAACAGTACCTAGAACAATGCACTGTTCTCCACACAAAACTGTTGGAAAAGACTGTTGAAGAGAGTGCGATTTAATATTGTTAACTACTATTATAACAGTTGACAATCGTTTAATCGCCCTCCCAAGTTCTTAGCCACTAGGTGCTCTCGGTGAATCACGCAGAGAAGTGTATGAACAGTAGAGAGAACATTTTCTAGATCGGCACTAAATCCTTTATATCTTCCGACTATTGCGGCAGCACCATCTGTTGCACACGCAACTATGTTCTGTATTGGAATGGAGTTTTCAGTCAGATAGCTATTGACTACCTCAGACATAGACTGGCCCTTTGTATTAGTTTTAATTCTCCTAGCAAACCGCATCTCTTCCACTCGTTTATTATCAGTGAAGAATCGGACACATGCCATGAGAAGAGCGTCGTTATCAGGTAAAGTAGATTCACCTACGTGTAACGAAATATTCTGGACTGTAGTAAAGTAACTAAGGTCCTGAGCCATCCATACGCCTAGATACAGTCGAATTTCTAAGCGGTATGGCTTGAGCCGCTTCTTGTGAAGTCATATGCGTTAGGCCCGACAGTAATAGTGATAATGGAGGCAAGACAATAGTTTCTCTAAAAATATGTGGACTTGAAAAGCACAACTAGAAGACGAAGTTCGGCAGATGCATGCATTTCGTATCGTCTCAGCAGTGCCGATAATGATAACCGGTAACTTTATATAACAGTTTCTGGGTACAGACATAATACGTGGACTGCAAATTCTAGCAATCAACTTGCTGATTTTCTAAGACGCCGTAAGTCCATTTGCCCTTGTTTGTCCTGTCAGAAACCATTGACTTTAAAGTATGTCTGTTTTCGGAACTATCCCCGCAGCTTTCTGTAAAAAATCCTAGGACTTTTCGCTTTCCTCCTTATGAGCACTTTCCAAAGGATTTTTCAGTTAACTCGGTGGCATACTTTCATTTGAAGGTGTTTTGGCAAATCGAACACAGGTAGAGAGAGGTTTTGGGGTGATTCGATAGATCCAAATGACCGGTATTCCACAGAGTACTGCCGACACATTCTTGTAGAGGAGCTCAGTACTGAAATGTGGTCGCTCACAAGCCAAGCGCTACTTTGAGAAGAATACAGTCAAACCCAAAGGACAATCGTGAAACACAAGAACGAACAAACGTCGTGCAGAAAATGAATTGTAATAATTGTGAAATGAACTATGTGGGACAGACATGAAGGAAACTATCCACAAGAATACAAGAACATCAAAGGGCTTGCAAGAAACATTATGCATCGTCTCTTGTCTCAGCGCATGTGGATGAGGAGGGATATAGCTTCAATTGGAACAAAACGGAGATTCTAGCTCAAACAATAACACAAAAAGGAAGAGAATTCCTAGAAGCATGGCACTCCTCTAACAATCCGATCAACATGCGCATCGAAATCGATCCCGTGTACCATCAACTCAGAAAGAAAGATCTCCGGCAAATTGAAAGACGTGGTTCCGCCGCGGAACAGATCACGAGGCGCAAATCGAAATTGCCACTTTCAGAAATCACCTGACAGTCGATCACGAAGTGGTGATTCAAGAAGCAGGATTGTACACTGCATATCACCGCACCGAAGATGCCACCTCGCATGGTGGTGAAACGCGTGCAATAATTTTATCAAGCTCGGAGAAGCGATCAAAAGGTGAAATGTGTCTAGGTAAATTGTTAATATACAAATATATTTATGTATATATTGCTTATATGGTATTTCTCTTACACGGTTACATTATGGGTAATAAATAACATCATTCGACGAGGCGAAACACGCAGGTGGTATGGATGATTGGTGACACTACATGCATTTTTGCATGACCGTGAGGTAATGGGACATTTGGTAAACATACTTATAACACCTGTTGGTGGCTACAATGATAAAATGTGAGTGTAGAAACCCTGTTAGAGCCAACCCAAAGGGGGTTTCTGATAATGACTTTGAAGATACCGTGGATAGTTAAAATGACCGAAGAAAACTTCTCGATAAAAGCAAATGAAGAAAAGAAGTGGAACTCAGAAAATAACAATGTTCGGTGGACGCAGTAAAGTTGTAGCAAACGGTGACAGTAGGTAAGATGAAGGGCAAAAGCAACAAACACGGAACAAAATGAAGCAGAGCTCGGGAAACCGTTATGGGGGAGTCAACTACGAAACTAATAATGTGCATTGGTTATTGCCAAACATGGTACCCAATGCGTGCTGGCAAAGCATTTGATTATTATGAGTGTTAGGAGAAGTATCTTTATACACGCATTACGTAGTACACCAAATGCGCAGAGTACCCACATGAATTCAGAACGTTACGGGCGAACGTGTCCTAACGGCTATAGATGCGAAGCGAGACTGGAGACGAAAAACGCGTAATCTTGCCTTACCGCAATGAGACCAGAAAAAGAAAGACTGATCGGCACATGAGTTGTGACACAGTGGTAATGTCGTGAGGAAAACGCAGTTAGTGTCAGTGTGGCTTTGTGCCGTAACTGCCGCAGTGTTCTGACGAGATTTCGCTAGGTTTACTGCAGCTTGCACAGTAGATGTATCAGTGTCCTGAGTAGAGCTCAGTTGGTTCACTGCGAATAGGCATCAAAGACCTGCGGACGAACCGGTTGTAAGCTGCGCAGCCTAAATCTAAGTGATTGTATGTTTGAGGTGAGTCCGGCGAAATTTGCGCAAGTATGGCAGAGCTATGCCAGCTCCACAATAGAAAATCTGCCCGGTCTGGATTTCAGACCTTTGTAAACAGGCACTTTCTCGCGCGTAATTCAGTTCACTGTCTAGTAGTTATCAGGGGAAACTAATGCCCAGAGACAAACTAGAAGAAAATTTATTAAATAAATTTGGGTATTTTTGTTTTCACAACCCACTTTTCACAGCAAGTTTACCCTAAAACGTTTTCTCATCATAGGGGGGCCATATGGCCCCTGTTGAGAATGGCTGGTCTGGATCGTCGGATACTCCTTTTCAAGCTACAGCTTTACGGGATCGGTGACGCTTTTCTAAACTGGATCGCCAACTATCTCGTTCAGCGGCAATTAGTGGTCAGAGTTCGGAACTCCTACTCTGACCCCATACAAGTTGAACGTGGTTTGCCTCAAGGCTCGGTGCCAGGTCCCCGAGTGTTTTTGGTATTTATCAATGACCTCACACACGCGATTACATCTAACTTCCTGATGTTGACCGATGATGTCGAGATTTGGCGCAAGGTTCAGGGGAATACTGACCAGAAACTGCTTCAGAGTGATGGAGATCCGGTATATCAGTGGTCCACCCAAAATTCACTGCAATTCAATGTGAATAAATGCAAGGTGCTCTCCATACGACACCAGCGCAACCACTGTTACAGGCTCAGAACGCATATGCTGCCACCGAACGGGGTTTGAGCGTACTGGTTCAAGATGGTCTGGGTTGTTCCAGACAATCCGCGAGAGCCTCCAAAACTGGTAACCAACACGTCGGGCTGTTACGACGGGCGTTCGGACAAATAGATCGATCTATTTTCCGGCAGATACTTAGTGCATATGTTCGTCCTCATGTTGAATATGCAATTTAAGCCTGGCACCCAGGGCTAAAACACGACCTTAATGCACTGTAGCAGCCCACACGTCGAGCACCAAAGTAAGTTATTGGAATGCACGAGGAGAGGCTGGATCGATTGGGGGTATTCAGCGGACGTTACCGCCGCTCACAAGGTAACTTGATTAGGTTGTACTAAATTCTGCACGGTCCACACCATGCGTGCCGCTCTTTACTGCAACTCAGCAGTAATAACCATTTGAGAGGTCACTTGCTAAAACTGGTAAAACGGTACTGCCGCGTGGATTGCCGCAGGAATTTCTGTTCTATGCGCATGCGTCACCCGGGAATACTCTTCCAGAATCGCTCATTTCTGTACCATAACTATCCAGCTTTACAAGACGTTTGGATGACTCACCTAAACTTTGCTACCTAGTACTACATCTCCATCGCACTCCTTGAATATACTTTGGATTTCTTTGCTGTTACATATTTGTGCAGGACTACAGCGAAACAAACGAGAAGTCCCTCTTAGACGTAAATAACCCACTGCTTTTTTATTTTTTGATAACCCTGCAAAACCACCCAACGGGATATGTAAAGTATTACTTCTTAAGCCGTATAAATGCACTGTTCATTTTATTCGCTTTGCTGGTGACGTGGGAAGTACACTACACGTAGCTTACCGAATACAGTGAAATTTCCGTGGGGCCATTGAAACTTAATCATGACGGATGTTACGTCGTGTACGAAAAAGATTTCCACAGACTGATAGTTGTCCACAGCCATTACCGTCCTTAAAAATGAGTTGCACGACAGGTCAATAGTATAATCGAGGCGATAATCTTACCGATGTGACCTCAGAATTGCCCAAAAACGCTACACTGAGCATCATGAGAGCCAAATCGATAAAAACGTTCGATTTCCGCTCCCGTAGTTGTCTTACTGATCATAAAGTTACAAATCACCGATTGCTGAGACGACGCCAAATATACATAAGTCCTACACGGCCATCTACTCCAACCTGAAATGTACCTACGATTCATTTGATTACATCTGCTTGTAGCGGCGCCACTCTTTGAGTTACGTGCAGCTGATAATCCTTCAGTTCTAAAATCAATAAACTGAGGCTCTGAGGGTGTACTGGCAACTTCGGTCTATCACGACAACCGGACTGTGATAAGGTCACGGAACACTCCATTTTACTATAAATTTCTTAATAATTGATATCGTGGAGACTGAATTCCCTGCAGCTGGCTGTTCGGATGCTATTCGCACACGCCTTGACTCAGAACATCAAGCAGTTACACGCCGAGACTTGATGATTTGTAGATGCATGGTACCAGGAACGTTCCACACCGCGATAGGTCGAGTTACAGGCTCACCGTGGTGGACCACTGTTGACTACGTGGGGTTAATAGAAAGTACAATAGTGGTAAGGAAGAATTGGCAAGGATGCAGGAAAATAACACATTCACTGCCTCTGAATGCTATAAAAATTTAAGACGTATGGTACAAACGAAGAACGATAAAATCCTAGAGTATGAAAGAAAGCACTCAGTATAGATACGTAGAAAAAAGATCGAAAATTTCCTATTCAGAATAAAAGGATGCATAAATCTTGGTTTGACAGAAATATGTACATATGAGAGAATCCTAGAAAGATATTAAACACAAATAGGAATATTCTGAACAATGTTTCAAGGAAGTGCACGGGTATCTGATGGTACCAGCGAATCAGAGTGCAGTCGCTTTAGCTGGACTCAAAGCATTCTTCTGCTCAGCCAGTAACCAAGTCTCATGCATTGCTCGTTTATGTTTGTCCAAACGGGATTCGGAAGCTAATAACAAACCACAAATATGACAACCAAATCCCAGATTTGGAACTGAAAGATAAGAAGGCCATGAACGCGGAGTAGACAGGAGCCCATGACTGGCGTACGGATGGCCCGACCCGGGTTTCAATGATAATAGATGGGTAAGCACTGCGTCAGCGGAGTCGAAAGGGGCAGCGTTCTTGGGGCAGCCGGGGCAACCGACCTGAGACGACACTCGCATTATCGACTGAAATCTACGTGACTTTGGACAACCAACTGCCACATGTGCTCGCAAAACAGCTCGGGAACGATATTTCATACCACAAGCGCACTGCCAAAGTCTGATTGACAGACCCAATTTGTTCCTCGTTTCCATCTGATTAACGCAGTGTGAATGGGTGAGAGATTTAGGGCGAGCGTGGCATTTGACTTTGTGTGCATAAAGTTTTCGCCGATCGTGGAAAAGGACGTGGCACCATGCACATCTGCGGCGATATGGTCCAGTTTTACGTTTCCGCGAAGTAGCCTTCTGTACTGCAGGCAATGTGGTAGCATCGGATATGACGGAACGACTTTCATCGACTGAACTACAAACGCTCTCTGCTGACAAGCGGGTGCTTCTGAAGTGATACCTACAAAAAATAGAACAGTCGAAAGTGACTAAGCATATATCGTAACAGAGAGAGAAAAGATAACAAACAAAAAATGATACGCACTTTAAAGCTCACCGGGTGAGAAGAGTACCGTGAATCTGATTACCATAACCGGTGATAATTTCACCTTGTTTAGTTGCCCTCTTGTATAGGTATACTACTGTTTATGAAGACAGGTACATTACCACAGATTTCAGGCATATGCGTTAGGTTCACTGTCAAGTAATGATCTGTTTCATAGCAATGATAGGAGGATTGTCAAGTTCAGACGCCTGTTGTAGCCTATACATCGCATGAGGGAGGTGGTATGATAATACCCCAAGTGAGTTTGTATGATCCAATAGTCTATAAGAGCACCATAAAGAGGCCGAGAAAAGACCAAGTATCCGGCGTTCCCAGTTGTTGCCTAAATAACTGTAAGATAAGTTGAGCCGGAGCTTAGATTGCAGTGGAATGATAGTGGAGCATTCCCGAAGGAATTGGTCTCTCGTCCGTCGAAGCATCAAACTAGTAATCAAACACGTAGATAGATTTTGCTTCACCGTACTACCAAAACTGTAAATGACTACAGCACGGAATCACCTTCGAAATTTCAAATAAATTGATCAAAGTACCAAAAACATTAACTAGTCAGGTACACAAGGCCGGGTGGATAAGCGTCTGCAGAAGTCTTCTTCATGGCAGTAAGGGTGAGTTGAAAAAGCATTCACCAGTCATCAGTGATAACTGATGCTCCAAAGCGGAGTGATTGAGTTGCCTCAGGAGCTCTGTGATCCGGTGATGAGCAACCTAGGAGTTTGGTGTTTCATTGAGACCGGATGTGAGCGTTAAGCGGATGCGCACCAACCTACGGTCGGAACACAAGTATCTCTTGCGGAATGGTCGCCAATGTCGTGCTGACACTCCATCTGTGGTTGATGACAGTGTGATTGAGATGAATGGATGGTGATATATTGATCCCTGGACACGGGTAACAGGATGCGAGCGAGTTGTGGCTGATTCAGTTGAAAAAGTCAATTGCTCTTATCGGAATGGCAAGTAGCAACTTCGAAACGGTTTTCGTATAGAGTTCGGATTCGGAGAAACGGTGTGGTGCACACCAAAAGCTCTGTATGCACTCGGGTGAGCGAATCGCGCTCCCGTGGTTATTCACTGTGATGTATCCGAGCAGCTGCTGGTAGCAGTTCTCCTTGGCGCGACCATAATATCATAAATGTCTCAAATCAGAGTCGATTAGGTATTACCAGAAACGAGAACGCAAGCCACCGTTACTGGAATTCGAGCCCGGTAGTCGAAGATGCGGTGAGATACTGTATTGTGCGCGTGGTTCGGAGATTAGGATACAGAACACATCCAGCTCTACCCGCCGATTGGTTCGCATTCGAAAGTAGGTACTTAAAAGGCACAATGGGAAACAAGACTCCTGACATGGAGGACTACTTAGACTGTAAATAACGAGCAGTGGTTTGCAGGTTAAGCGGGCAAAAAGGGATTCCAAAACGATAGAAAGTGCAAATAAATTGTGTTCGAAGAATGATGAGTTCGACTCAATGACTACGCCACTTGCCGTGGCGTTGGGATTATTACTTACGTTTTCTTCATCTCAGGGGGGAACTAACTCACATGTGTCAACTGAATCGCGTGGGGGACGGCCAGAACTTGCACTATTAGTAACGATGGTAAAACTGAGAGAATAAGTGCACTGTTCGTGCCTGAAAAGTAATTCTGGGAAGAGGCGCCGTCACCTTCATGAGTTCTGAGGCACTCAGAATCCGCCAACCAATGCGTCAAGGAAACCTGTGGACCATTTTATCACGCTAAAGTTCAGCCGCATCGGAGAGGTGGAAAACCCAATCTGGAATGTGAACTGGGAAGACTTGTAACAGAGCAGGAACATAGGAATGGATAGTGGCGACAGCAGCGGAGGTGTGCCAATGAGTTAATTTTCTGGTATTTTACGTGATGCTGACTGATACCACCGACGTGGCTTTACTTGATGTGAAGGTTTGTAAGATGCATATCTGTCTACCACCACCACTTTGATTACTGGCTCCGAGAGACACTTAGTAGTTCATAGAGGGGACGGAGTACACAGCTCAAAGTGTGGTCCCATCTAGTGTGGAATGGGTTACGGTCCAGCGAGCGCCCTGATGTGCATGTTTCCCCCGTTCAAATGAATTAATGATATGCATGTTGAACGAGAGTTAGATGGCCACCATTTATATGTCACCTTGTCTTATTCATTCGGGTTAATACTGAATATGGGGCTGTGGGTGGTGTAGCGCAATCCGCCCATGGTCTTTCAGTAAGCTAGGAGTTCTATGGCTGCTCAGCCGCTGTGACAAGCAAACGCAGAAGTAGGTGTCCGCAGCCATATATATATATATATATATATATATATATATATATATATATATATATATATATATATATATATATATATATATATATATATGGTAGAGAATGAGGCAGGCGGTCTCAAGATACCGTGGCCAGCACTACTTGCAGCCACTATACGAAAGAAAAACAGCGTATTGACGAGAATCGGCGAGTTTCTCTGACTGCCTTAACCGCGTCGTTCACTGCTGGTTAACAGCGCCGTAACCCTCAGCGACACGTACCTCGATCCTGAAGTGCCTGCGTTCAAAGATGTAGCTCCGTGAGATAGTGGAGTTGTGGCAACCGGTGAAGATGAATAATTAGTCGAACCATCTACTGACATGCGAATGCGCAGACGCAAGCGAGGAAACTGTTCCTCCGAGTGGCAGGAATATTGCACCAGAGCTGATGACGATCTTTTGACCGCTGGAAGGGAATGTCGACGAGGGCGGAGTGTAACGGCTTCGAATATGGGCTGAAAACGTGGAGAAAAGTGGATGACAAACGATAGATGACGACATAAGAGAGGAATGTTCTCATGTATTGAATATCGGTGCAACCAGAAACGGAAAAAATGGCGAGAATAGGATAACCACATACCCAATACGGGAAAAAAAGCACAGAAACGGGAGGTTGGGATAATGAAACACTGGTCAGACAGACGGGTAATTTAGGACAAGCGTGAGAAGGAAGAGGCGAGAAGTACCGACTCACTCTCCTCTTGCACACTGGTGAAGCACACAACTGGAGACGAATGTGCTTAATACATGGAGTAAACACACGTGGGAGGAACAGATCGACGCGATGGTTTCGTATTACCAGCATCAACAACAACACCGTCCGTATTATTGGTGGTATGATCGGGATTACCTATATCATCAACAGTGTTGTGCCATAAAGCATCGCTTCCACACAAGCATAGAGATGTCACTGCGAAGGAATGATGAAAGAAGATAACGGGAATTGATGTAAAATCAAAACATCCGAGGCGTCAACACTATGCTATACCACGAAGCTCGGAAGAGCTGGTAATTACTTACTGGTGGTTTTCACTGCCTCACCATGTCCCAAAGCGAGTACCTTATCTGTTGAGCAAGTAAGCCAAATAAATAACGACAGCGAGGACCGCAATGGCAAATATGACGTAACGTTCCATCCGTGGTCTCAAGCTTAACACAGACTAGGTCGCGTGAAAAGCAAGATAGAAAACTAGTAACAAGTTCATTGGTTAATAACTTCGATTCTAACTCCCAGGAGAAAAGACGTCCCCTTTGAAACAGATACGGTAAATGGAAAAACCGTTGGACGACGAGTTTTTAATACGTGAGGCCAACCGGATTAACGCAACGTATCCACTCATGAGGCCGCTGAGTATACCAGGGTCTCTCGTTCGCCAAACACTGTCTCAAACCGAGCCTGGTAGCCTAGGTGGCCACATTTAGTTCGGCTCAAGGGAAACTATAAGGAGATCAGAGGGTTTAGCATATTAATTAATAAGAGATCGGAATGTTGTACAGTTTGAACGAGTCGTTAGGTACGGCTCTGCAATACCGTCTTACAGAAACCTGCAGTATCGGAGTGTGGTGCACAGCACAAATACCGCCGGGCGATAAAGAAGAGAGTAACGTTGAAATAATGAGGGAGAGGCTACTAAACATAGATAAGTGGAGCAAATGAAAAGCGAATGCCGCAGACGCTTCGTGGGAGGAAGACACAAATGTAAATAGTAGCTAAGATCAATATGAAAATAAGGTTAAACTGGACAAGCCGAATAAGGTGAGATTTACTAGCGAACAGTGCTGCGTTTCTCCTACAGTGCTACCCGATACACTATCGAGGAGGTTGCCGAAAAATAGGAAAGCTACGGTTCTTTTGGAGGGATGATAGTTTGGGATACAGGACCACAGAAGACGGATGGGTGGCATAGACAAATGCAGACCGGAAATTTAGCTAAGAGTGCAACAGTGAACAAATCCACTCGAGATACGAGAAAAGAACACCCACTTTACACGGACCAGCCGGCCCGATGTCACTGGAATTTTTGCCGACGGGATCAATCATATCACGATCCGTTCCTTTACTCGAAGTGGTGAGTCCGAAGGCGGATGAGCGCGCGGGCTCAGATAAACTTGTCTGACGGTGGAGCGACAAGCTATGCGATTTTCTCTTATGCGATCGGCGCTTCAGTAACAAGAAAAAAAGACGCAGAAAATTCGTCAAAAATTGACCAACAAGCTTTAGCGTCTGCGTACAACATAGTAATTATAATTCACACGCTCAGAGAAAATGTGTCCGTAGAGGCACAGATCAATTGGTACAAAAATAACCATGTGTGCTGGGAACATGCAAGCAGAACGATACGGATATACATGACGAAGCAAGCGGCTAGCTTGCCGTAAGCGAACAGAGCAGTCGATTGCACGCCTACGCATATTTCGACTATGCGCTGATTAGTTCGCATTTGGCTACGCTGGAGCAAGTTTGTTAAACTGCTTCAAAGGAAGAACCTCATGTATGCAAAAGTGTCGTTAGATATGGAATTGAGCTAGTTATTTACATCGAGGTTCCTACATGCTGATTACGGTATCAGTTTTGCTGAGCCTGTTTTGCCGAATAAAACGTTTGTCTCTGAAGGACCGAGTTCCGCGACACCATACTCTTGCAGTGGGGATATGTGTATGTGCAACATAGGAGCATGCGATTCATGTGACAGCGTTTGGGTGGAAGTTAGAGGCAAAGGTTTGAAAACATGAGTGTTCAGATGTCTTTGGGCCCCCATGGAATGGCTCATCGAGGGATTTTTTCTATGTTAATATAGTCATAATGGTATTCAGATCAAGGTAACTTGAGAGTATTAATAAATATTGCCACATTTCACATGATCTGAGTATGGTTGGAAGTTCATTCCACAGATAGGTATATGTGACCGCAAGAAATCCGAGGGCATGCTCGTTCTTGCCTAGGGTAGAACCAGTGTATCATCTTTGCTGTGAAGCTCTCGAATTAAGCTATGCTGAAACACGAGTGTAGGCAGGTTGGAATACGTAGCAGATCGTAAGGCAGTAACGGGTTATGCTTCAATCGTCGAATCCAAAGTGGTTTGAGTTGAAGTTCATTGCAGCGCTCTCGAGAACTCATGGCAGAGTGTTTATCAAACAGAAGTTTAGTAAATGGCCTCTGCATGTGTTCCAAAACTACTGTCTCTCTCATACTACCGTATAGTACGCTATAGTACTCGAGGATGAGGCGAGTGAGTAGCTTAAGAAGCTCGAATCTAGCTTGGATTGTGTAGTTTGTTGGGTGTATTAAACACAGAGTGTCTAGCAAGGGTTACCTGGTATTCAACTAGTTCGGAGAAGTGGTAGATAAACGAATACCCAATTCCGAGATCGTGCGTGCACAGCCCTATAGGGACATGTTCGTGGTTCAGTGTATTAAATCCTTCGGGGATGGAACGGCCATATGGCATAATACTTGGTTTCTTATCCGAAAGGTTTATCATCCAGGTGTAGCATTATGCCTTAAGGGAATATAAGTCATCTTGAATGAGCAGTAGCGTCCTGTGTTCATCATGCCGAGTGGGCGGATTTGGGTATGATTCGATTTGGCTCATCGCAATTATCTTCCAAGCCGCATAGGTAAGCTACCAATCCGCAGGATGCGCACCAATGACGAGCCTTGATAGGGTGAAACGCGCGTCTGGTGCTTTTTCGGATTAGTAGCTCATCTATGCGGCTTGGAATCTAATTGCGATGAATCAAATCGGATCTTGACATCGTCAACGAATAAAAGTGGCCGAGTGTTTTACGGATGTAATGATGTCATTAATATAGAGCAGGGACAGTGAAGGACCGAGCACGCTGCCTTGGATGACCTCGCTGGTGATGGGGCGTGGCGAAGAGTGATAGACACCTGGAGTTACTACCTGGTGAAGACCACTCAGGTGTAACGATAGCCAACCTAGTGGAGAGTCCGGGATTCCAAAGGCCTCCGACATGTGTAACAACCACTTGTGGAGTATGTGGTCGAATACTCAGTGTAGGTCTAGAAATAGAATTACTGCCCCATACTCCGAATCCACATATTTTGAAATGTAGCTCAGACAATGGCAGTAAAACAGAAACATGAACAAATTAGCTAAACTGGTTAGATAGAGGAATACGGTTACCGCTGACAATATGGTATACAAACTAGCCAACACTACCACTAAATTTTAAAGCCCCAAAACAACTAAGTTGTGTGGCAATGGGAGGCACAGCATACGATTAAGAACGGAAAATAATGAATAGAGACTTACTGTCACAGACAACCTTGGTGTCGGGTCATCTTCAGCTGGTAAGGTTGATGAAGAAGTTCCGGCATCAGTTAGAGAAGAAACGGGAGTACCAGCCCGATCACCGAGGTGCAATTCAATTGGATGAGTTGTAGATATGGTTGAAACGGAAGCACTGTCGGCGTTTTGATTCGAAGGAGCGCCGCTAGCACTCGGAGACTGCGTAGTAGAAAAAGAGTCAAAGTAGTAGCGCTATGCAAACATTGAGGCGTAAATAAAAGTAACCGAAGGTGAAAACAAAGCACGTTGTAAGTCGCTGAATTGTATGTCCCATAAACTAGATGAAACTTCAAGTCCAATAGAGTAACAATAAAATACCAGCTACAAGTTGATTTTCGGGTTTTGGAGTACCCACAGTGTGTCTGGGATTGCGACACGCAATCTCAATTGTGGCCCCAGTTGACTTTGAAGTTAGCCTCTGCCAACACAATCACTGGGACCATCGCCGAAGTGGAGGGTTTCGATCTACGATTGTACATCGATTCACTCTTACGCCATTGCTCTCAGCTTAACCACTGAGTGTAAGCTTTCTCTCTGTATCACCAGTACCGAAAATTTTGTCCTGGTTTAGATTAATCAGGTAGAGATAGCCGATCTGGGAGTGGAACTCGTATTGACAAAGGCTGACTTCAAAGTTAATCGAGGCCATAATTGAGATTGCGTGTGGCAATCCAGAACAATCAGTGGGTGCTGTAAAACCCGAAAATCAACTTCTAATCGCAGTGTTGAGCGCTGCGCGCGGAGCTTAATGGCCAAGTGATCATCGCGATAGCCGCCAAGCCCTATGCGCCGAGTTCCACTCCCAGGTCGGCTATCTCTAGCTTATGAGTTCAAAGCAGGAGGAAACGGTCGATCGAAGAGTGCACGGATGGAAAAAAGCCACACCGAAACCCTCTATTGGCTACAGGATTAACTGGAACAGGTTCGGTGGTTAATCGTGAGAGAAGGAAGATGCCAACAGATAGTCGCCGTTCCAATGGTGTGCAAATAGATAGGTATAGGCACCATACTTAGGAAAGCGCATTACATCTATTTTGATCATGCTCGGTTTGGTGTGCCTCCAAACAATCGAGAATGAGATGTTAGTTATTTATTTATAAATGCTCGAGTACACGATGTAAAAGACAATATTATAGGAAAACGCCAAAAATTAAAGAACCACATCATCCCGAGCCCTAGCGGATAATGACACCCAGGCTCCGATGCGGTTGTGTTCCCGAAATTAGTTATACCGGTACCTTCCAGAGGAGAGAATGCTAGATAAAAGTTATTGCAGTAACAGTTCAGTTCAGTTGAACGACTATGAACAGGGAACTGAAATGCAGCGGATTCAGTTACCACGACCCACGTCGCCAGAATAACAATAAATATGGACAGTAGGAAAATGGGATTGGATAAAATCTAATGTAAAGAAAATGGAATAAAGGTGTGTTAATGAAGATTGAGTCAAAATTAGGAGCTGGATGAAAGAAGCCGAATGAAGGAACGCCACTGATTGTGCCAGATCCTATACGGCCCCCAACCATTGGCGTGCACCATCCCGAGGCCCCCATTCACGAAGACATCACGCACCAACCTAGCCAAGTCTATCAGTCAGTTTCCTCATATCTAGATGCCACGTGAATGGGCCGCGTTACCTCCTGTCTATCAAGCGCTTGCTGCTTACAATATTCCACATTCGTTCGTGCATTCTATTGAAGAAGTGGGTGTAGTGATCAATAATTATCCCTGGAACCCAAGTACTCTACAGCGCTTCCTCACTTTGGAATGCAGTTTGGATTTTCGGGGTTCAAGGCTCAACAACTTCCATTGTAAGTGCCCACAAGTTGGCTCGTCCGTGTAAACTGAACAGTCCCGGCACGTACCTGACTAGTGATTAACATGCTGATGTTGATACTACATGCTCCGTTCCACATATTAGTCAAGAGAGTGAGTATAGCTATATTACCCGCTGTTCATCCGTCATAATGAACTAAGGTACGCTTAGGAAAATCAGCTATTATCAAGATAAGTGGCGGAGAAGCAAAAGTGCCTGCTAGAGATTGAATTAGAAATGGCCTATCATTGGGATTGACTTAGAAGTAGGTTAGTCCAACTGTGGTGGTACGGTAGTGCTTTAGTACGTAGTTCATTGGAAAAACGGGGGTCATCCTCCGTGTTATTCCCTTCATTGGCCAGGAGACACACTATACCCACCATTCGATGCGGTGTAAAGTGAGCCAATCGCGTAGGACTTTGTAGTGTGATCGTGTTGAACGGTGGCAATTCAGGTGAGTTGCCTTGTTCCTGCGCCTTGCAAAAACCCAGTTGTTCTTGAACTGCAATATGTACCTATTGCACGTGAGTAGTATTTGGTTTAATCGTACCGCAGGCAATGTCTCGGCTTCGTTTCTTGATTGGACCCGGGAGTTTTTACGCGTCACTCGAGCCCCAATCGAATCTGTTGGTTACATAAATAGCTTATAACTACAGTAGAGTACACAGCCACATTTGCCTAAGGTTGAGTAATTAGAGGTTATGCAAGCTACTTCTTGTAAATTTGCTAAAACCGATTGCATACTTTATAGAAACCCGAATGTAGAACAGGGAGCAGCGGGAATGACTTGATGTGTTACTGACATGATAGTGTCAAAGAGTCCATTAGAGAATGTGTGATATTATCGCCTACAAACGCATATAGCAGATGGCATCTACAATACACACTAACAATAAGACAACATTGTTTTACGGTACCTATTATTTGTGCATCATTCCACCTGGTAACCGCATTGATGGCATTTGCTTCCCTGTTCCTGTATCTGTCTCCACGTATTGTTGATGCCCACACTTCTGAGTACATTTAAGGCTGCTATTTAGGTTTACATCCAAACGTTAACTAATCACCGACAGTCATTGGTTGCTTATAATTGTACTCGAGATTTTCCAAAACTAGAGGAATACGGCTTTTATTCTTTTATTCAATCTAAACGCAGGCACGTACATAGTATTATCGCTCACGAGGGTTACCGCTTCTCAGTTCGGTTTGTGGTAGTCCATATACAGATGGGAACAAATGCTTGCTCGCAACATTGCAGTACTGCAACTCGAACCAGGGACCTTTGGTATGTCAGCTGATTTCTCCACTCGCAGCCACACCCGGGAAGCTCAAACAACATCATGCTGAATGACTAAGTGGTAGCCATTTAGAAACACTTGTAAGCGGCACATTTCCGCTTGACAGATTGATGGCACTTTCACACGCGTGGCACCATTATCTAATGACTCGATGTCAAACTGGGGCTTGCCCAAATTACAGGCAGCGCAAACATCTATTCGTGTCTCGTTACATTCCCACTTGACAGATGGATCATATGCATTTCATCTTGTGTGACACCGTGAAGTATTGCGGGTTGCAAGGCGATGTCAAGGCAGCCAGGTTCAGTGCCTCTGTACCGTGCACTGACATTCAGACAAGTGATCAATTTTGATTCACGGACCAGTAACACGATGCGACATCCGAATCGAAATGCTTAGATACAGGTAACACTTTTGGCACTTATGACATGGTTGAGATATGCTAGCGCAGAGAACGGGTGATCAAGGTGACCATAAATAGTCACACACGACGAACTGTCTGGTGGTTCCACATACAAGTGAATTCTTGCTTACCTATCGGATAAGAGACGATCGGACCGGCTCTTGCGTACCCTCTGACACGAATGGCCTGCAGTCAATATAAAAGACGGCATTCACAACACACACCAACGATAATTCATCACTGTTCCACTGTGCTTCTACTTCTTCGTTAAAGTGAGCAAAACTATAGTTCCCGTTCTTTCACCGCAGACTTTAACTTAGCTGAGCTAATAAAAAGCGACGAACTTAATCGCACCATTTCCCTGTTAACTTGCAAGGTTGCTTATTCCATCTCCGTCATATTCCTTGTGTCATCCGTATTCTATCGCACAAGTAAGTCGCGCTTGGGTACAGTTTCACTCTAGAAGGATTACCTACTGACTTGAGACTTTATTGCACCTGTCTAGAACGGATGAGCCACATCTAACGTACCTTCATTGGGCTTACGTAACGGTTGTATTTCGCGATGATTTTACAGTGTTGCCCACTACATTGCTGTATTCACCATGACCTAGATATTCTTGCTACCCTCTCAAATGGAGTTTAGTACGGTGACATACCGAGATGGTGAGCTACGGCATCTTCCTCTTCGTATTGTTATTCGGCCGCGATTCCCATCACTATGTAAGCCCCATGGTATTACTCACCAGACGGCGCATAGCGATAATCGTTTTAGGAGCACCGAATGGCTGCACCCAAAGAGTACGATGCAGATCACTACCAAATAGCTTATAGCCACAGCAGGGTACACAGCGGTGTGTACAAACGGTTAAGTACTTGCATGACAACCATGCTACGTCTTGGACATTTGCATAACAATGCCAACACTGTTTGGAAAGTCGCGTGTTTGACAGTGAGCAGCAGGTCTTAGTTGATGCAAAACTGTGGTAGTTGTCTTGCCAACGAGGCCGTAAGCGGTGAATATGTGGTATTGCCACCTGCCAATGCTTAAGGCTGCGTAATAATCGTTCTTTGAGAAAATGCACGTACCTCGGGTAGCAGATGATTGGATCGGTTGGCAACACGGAGAGCCTGAAGTGAACATCCCATCGAATTCGCACGCTGTGCGATCTTCCCCATCAGGTACGCAAACCCGACTGTACATATAGACAGCAACATCTGAGTACAGACTATTTTACTGTACCACTTGTTTATTTATCATTCTACCTAGTAACCGTACTGATGGTAGTTGCTGCATTATTCCTATATCGGTCTCGTTCAAATATGGACGCCCAAGAGTCAAAATTGTCAGTTATGTTCACATGTTCGTATTGGGCACTCATTATCATGCCTATGAAAGTGGCTATTAGCCTGACCTCCAAACGAAACATAGACACGTTCGTAGTACTATTCTATATGAGGTTTAATCTGTCTCTATCCAATTTGTGGTAGTTCACATTTAAGTTTAGACAAACGCATGCACATCTGTTCTATTCGAACTGCCATTGGACACGCATGACGCCAATCCATGTATATATGTATGCTGAAGAAATTCGACGGGGACACTCATACCGCTTTTGTACGGCTAAGGTAGTGCAGGGAAGTGGCACTGGGGCAAACCGAAAACAACATTACCAGGACATGAAGAAGGAGAGTTTATGACAAACTAATGTTGAATTCAGGTGCTACGAATCCAAGGCAAAGTTGATCGGTGCGAATTCCGGCTGCGGTAGCCCAGGTGCAAGAGAAAGCATTATCGCATGCGGAATAGAAGCATGATGCGTACGCTTCTATTCGATTTACTAATCCAGGCCAATAAGGCGTCATAGGTGGCACGTTTGCCTGCGTGATGAGGATTCTTGCATTTCAGAAGTAGATGTTATTTGAGCTCCCCGGTGTGGCTGCGCCTGATGTGAATGTTGACAAGGTGCCTACCTGTCTAATACCCTCTACCTCGATTGCTGGCTCCAGGAGACAGTTGGTCGTTGCTGGGGGGTGAAGGGGTGCACGGTCCTGTGACCGTGCTAGGCACAAAGAGTGGTTCCATCCTGTGTGGAACGGGCTACGGCTCACCCACCGCCTTGTGTACGTCTGGTGTGCATGATTTCCAAATTAGACCGGAATATTTCGCTTCTGTTTGTTGAAGGAGTGTAAACCGGCTCCGTGGATGAAAGGTGGCTCCCATCCACATGCCTCTCGGTCTTATTCCTTCGGGTTTACACCGGATATGGGGTGCAGCGCAAGGCACGCATGGTCCCTCTGTAGGCGCAGACGTCTTGTGACTGCGCCCGTGGAGGTCACAGTGACAGGCAAATCCGGATAGGGATGCCGCCAATCCATATGCACGTCATGGACTGGCCACCTCGCGGTTTCACCCAATTTGGTTCAGCCACGAAATATAATGCACGCCAAAGAAGCCGGAGGAAAACATGACTTAGACAACGTAAGCGGTTAAGATTCAGCATACACTCCAGCGAGGCACCCAAAGGTTTCTTGCCATAAACCAATTTGCGAACCTCAGCGCTGCTCACCCGGTGATCCCAGCAGACGTGAACGATACTCCGCAAGCACCGACCATGCGTTTAATGACTACGCTGCGAACTGGCAAGGTCTCTAATTAATACAGTAACACCGGCTTTATCGTAGTTATAAGCCATACCTATCACTATCAGGCTGATATTCTGCAGTTTCCATAGATGATTGAGCCTCTGGAAAGTCATACGGGCCCAGTTAATCGTAAATAACCTACGCTAGGTGAGCGAGGCACGTAAATTAGTATGTCTCTATCAAATGCGATTTTGTCAACCTAAGTGTATCAGAGCTGTGGAAGGCAGCAAAAAGAAACGCAAAGGTGCGCTCGTTCCGCAGCACTAGCCAACACCGAAACCCAACATTCAATGGCGCGAGAGAAATAGGGTGGTATGGGCTGATTAGGGGGCCTACTGAAGATATAACTTCAAATTACTGAGGAAATTTATCTGCAGAAGTAAGAAATCCAGTGGTGCAATTAAGCAGGGGATCACCGAGGGAAGGTTGGTATAGGGACTTAAGGAAAGTGCAAGGAAAAGAGGCGGGAGAAAAGCAGCAGCGCACGTTTTTGCGAATTCACCCGACTGTATACTGCACATAAAGCGACCTTTCTGAAACTGTGCGAAGGCTGATACAGGATGCGGCTGAATGCATGTGAGAAATTCACGTTTTAGGTGGTTTGAGATGCAGCCAGGGTGCCGAAACCTATGCAAGTGAACAATCATGAACTTTAAACGAAGCCTTTGATGCATTAAATTGACTGCAAGGCGGTGGCAATGACGTGGTTTAACAAAAAGGGTGCCAGGTGAACCTCGACAACCAACTTGGAGAGTATGGAGACTGACGTTATGCGAGTTTTGATCAACAGTAATCAATGCGAAAGCATTCTTTAAGAGACTCGATGGCATGGATCGATGGATGGGTCGAAGAGGTACAGAAATCGTCACGCCACGTTAACGTCCAGTCTTGTAGCGACTACTGAATATTCCTAGCATTAGCTCAATGACGGAATTGGTGGGGCGTTCGCACAGTCCTGCAACAGGGTATTGCACCGTGAATTTGTGAAGCAAATGCACGGCGTTGACTTCAACCTCAGGAAAACCATGGGGCCCGTGTACTCCAAATCTGTCAGTCGGATACCCGAGGTCCATCAACGAGACGACTGCAGTGAATTTGTTTCAGCTCGTAAACCTTGGTCAGATAGATTAGCGGTCAGAGATAAGACAAAGTCAACTTTTTCCCATTAAGCTGGCGCAAAATAGTCAATACTGTGGAAGACTACCAAGCTCCCACCGGCACGCTTTCACGCTTCCAAAACGGATTTTGGATGAGGACGGTAATGATTCTCATGTTATAACTCAAACCATCTAGCGAGTCAGCCCATGCACAATCACTTCCGATGTATGGCAGCGAAGCAAGGGCACAGAGAGTTTAAGTAAGAATTGTACCGATGAGGATGAGGATGACCGTAAAGCCATGAATAACTCACATTTCTTGCGAGAGAGGGGTTACAAGCCAAAGAAGACTCAGTCTCTAATTTCCTATTACAAACAAAAGACATCTGTTGCGCGATGTAAAAAGTAACATTCTCACGACATTATTATTCATTTAAACTATTCGAATGACATTTAGGTTTCAACGTACATTATTCTGCCGATAATATAACTGTGAAGATTGTTTCGGATGGCTACAACCACGTAGCAAACCTAAGCAACCAAGGTCATAGAACCATATCCTCAACTCTTCTGCCTCACACAATTCTATACAGACCGTGTGTAAAATCTAGGTGTGTAACATGGCAGCAGCACAAAACACACATGGCTAGAATGATAAAATTAAATCTTATGACGTTCCGAAGTAACAGAGCAACGAACAAAAAACAAAATACATAACTTACGGTGGCCAATGTGGAGTCGTCCTTACACCACCTCAAATGTCCATGAAGACAATTCACATTTTGGAACATCCGAGAGCAATTAGGACACAACGTAGCAAATCTTGGATCGTACGACTGCCTCGACCCGCCACCGTCTTCAGGGGGATCATCGACGCTGACACTCGGAAGAACCCCAGCGGTTGAGCAGAGCTAAGAAAAAAATTCACGAAGCCCACCGTCATTGAAAGTACACTCGCAATTTACCGTCCAGAAAAAAATTATCAACTGCCGATGCGTCGTTCAGAGTCACGAACATGAAATGAAAATGTAGCTGGGAATGGAGCGATCAACATACATCTAACAGATGGCAATGTTAAGAAAAAGCGAACAGCGCATGCGGATGCGGATGCACGTCAAAGTAAATTACTAGCGTGAGTCGAAAATAGGAGGGCGGAGCTCGCAGGTGGTCGCAGTAAAGCAGCCTAGTTAAACTCAGAAGAGCAAGATAGCTACGACTTCAAATAGCCCTTAAGCTGCCAATAAAGTCTGTGAGCTCAAAGGTCAAAATCACAATAATGGATCAGCACATGGAGTGTCAGACAACCACACACATGTCAATATTCGGCGACTATCTCAGCACTATATGCAGACAAGTAACGCAATTGCATCAGTAATCAACAACAAAATAGATTCGCGAATCGATATCGCGGAAAAAAATACACAACCCATGGGGAAGTCATCAGTTCAGAGAGGCCTGAAAATCACCGATTACTGTACTCCATAACGTTTCCAAACCACATCAGCGATATGACCAAAAATAACAAATCAAAACACTAAACACACTAGTGGCTGACGCGTCCCAGTGTAAGATCCAGAAAATGTACACATTTTTACCTCAGAAGATGGACATTTGTCCACAGACGGTTTCTCAATTGCCACGTTGGACCTTGATTGCGGGGAACGCTTAGTAGCGGATCCCTCAGTAGCAACCTTCATTGACTCCGTGGTATGGTCAACGACAGACAAGGAAGCTTGCACCGAAGAATCGGAAGGGTCGAAACCATCGTGCGTCATATGGGAAGGAGTGTGGCGCCTTGTCTTTCGACCAACTGGAGTATTGGGTGCCTTGTGTCCATTCAAATAGGTGGTGATCGAATCCGAAGGACAGTCGGAGTCCACAGGCGAGGTTGACGGAAGGATCTGGAACAGATGAGAAGCCCAGAGCACCGGACAGATTAGAATTATTAATAACAGCCGAGTGACCGGTACTTGAAGTGACACTTAACAATGAATAAAATGAGAGCTTTCGAGCAATTTGAAAATATTAAAAACGAAATAGGCTGCATCATACAGGAACCAGCAGCATAGTAAAACACGACCAACCGGTGTCACTAGCACTCGCAGGATAAGTACAGAACAAGAAAGGCAATCGATAGAGCAATCGAGAGGGGGGTAAAATAGAGGCTACACGTTCATAGCTAGGCCGATGGAAGTATGAATTGTTTCCCAAATCGAAATACGACTATTTATCGCAACCAGATCTCTATTGAAGCGGAATTTTTCGGTTCAATTGACTCAAGTGGATAATTAACGGTTAAAACCAACAGAGTTTAAACAGGTCTTTCGTGACTAATTGTATACAAGGAGCATACAATGGCCTAAGTAGATGAGAATCAAGCCGGAGACCTGTGACAGACCGAGAAACAACTCGAGGGAGGACAAAACGGGACAACGGCATACAAGCGACCGTACACTATGCAGATCGAATAATAAAGGCAGCAGAGCGTATAGAGCCAAAGATTAGACGTCACCATTAGCATCAACAGCATTATATCTGCCACCTGAACCTGTGCTCCGGTTTCGTAAAACCAGTGACCTAAATAACGAAGTATAATGACAGAAAGAGTAGAGGGATAGGGCACAAAAGCTTACAGATCACTAAGCAAAGATTCACCGTCAAGGCGCTTACACCTTGTCAACAATGTACCGTCCCATACAACTGGCTACCGAGCAAAGTTAAGACGACATAGAGGAGACAGTTTCACTGCAGCGTCCACTGCCCCACGTCAAAATCCACCATTACCCCGCAGACAACTTAGCGCCAAACACAGCTTAAACAGGCAGTCCGGCTGCAAGACGACAGCATACGCGACACTGATGCCGACTGCAAGCCATGTCCTGCAACATCTCGAAACAAGCATAAAACGGGTCACGTGGACTCCAACCTGGGAGACGGCACGGACCAACAGCACCACGTTTTGTTGTCAGTGGCTTCATTTCTCTCCACCAAGTAAACTTCTATCCACCTCGAGCATTGCACCACCCTACATCTGCTAGACGAAACAAGGCCATCGCAGGTAAGCTGTGCTCGAGCACACGTAGCATGTGCCCGAGGCAACACAACTCATTCACGGCAATCTGCTGTTCAAAGGAACCAGCCTCATTATCACTGCCTACGCACTCTCCTACGCAGACAATCGTTGTGGACACCCTGATGCCACCTGACACCAGCAATGCCTCACAGACAACGATGACCAAAGAGTTGTAGACACCTCAGATATTCAGATCCAATGGCCTATCAGACCGACGCAAACCACTCGCTAATACCACAAATGTCGCAGATATCAGTAAGCAGTTCTAGCGATCGCAAAACGTGAACTGACATCGGCGCCTATGTGTCCATCATTGCTGACGTAACCGTCAATGTAAATTAACTACCATGTGGGCCATATGAGTGGTTTAGTGCGTGTGCACGCGCGCGACGTTCATCCCCCGATTGGATTGACTCACCTATCGATTAACTCCACCGTCCATTCTGTAAACTGTGATCCAACCAATCACCTCCCCAGCTTCAGGCAGCCTTTTGTGTTTGCACAGCCATTCGCACGAATGTTAATGTTACTAGAAAGAGAATGTTTCGCAAGTCCTCTTTTGATGCCTTAACGGGCATAACACACGAATTCAGCAACTATATGAGAGTCATGAATTCCGGTTTTGAAGGCACAACACACGATTGCACCAACGTGTCGCTATCAGTTCAGCCTGTTGGCCTACCCACTTTAGGAAGCCAACACTAGACGGATTCACGACTACATGAGGAAGCGTTAGAAACTCCGACACACAACACACTGAAGATTCAAGGTATCATACGAAAATGCGAAGAAATACGCGTTTTCACTAATGCCATTTGACGAACGTGCCACACGACCTCAGTCACACACCAGATGCAAAAAACGACATCATGAACCCCCGCATCCAAAGTGGAGGAATCACAAGCGGTGTTTTATAAAGTGCGTACGTCCAAGCAAGCAGCAACAGAAAAGCAACATTAGCGTACTAACCGCAACTATCCCAGTCTCCGTCACCGGAGCGGTTCTCCATGATTCGGTCCCTTCGGAAGCAACACACAAGTTTGATTCCGTCGATTTGCGGACAACATCCGGCGTAGACTGCCGGTTATCCAGGGTAGGCTGTGACAATATAATACAGTGAAAGCGTAGAATTGCTTAAATAAACAAAAGCAATATCTAAATGGCTAAAGTAAAGCTGCAGTGTCAACTGACAAAGAACACAGGGCTGTAAAGAACAGTCGACACCACCATATCGAATGACAACTGAAACCATGCACACAACATGTGGGTTCCAGCCCCACTCAGTCCGTCGGTTCAACCCACCACCCCCCCCCCCGCCGCAAAAAACGGCCACAGAACACAGACCTGCGAGCAGTCTGCTCAAACAGTTGAGTTACGAAACAAGCAGACTTCGTCCAAAGGATCCACTGATGCAATCAATTCTCTACCCGCACCAGCCGGCCAGACACCCTCGGTGGTTTCTTAACTTTAAACGAACTCTAATCAACCTTAGTTTAATCATCATTATGACTTACACGCTTACACACACCCTAAGGAGGTAATAAGCACATTCAGCGAAACCAAACGAAACAGAGTTCTCGAATGCGTCAACAGTTGGTACAGAGCGTCAAATGTAACCGAGAAACCGGCAAATCTGGGTCGGAAAATTACAATCCTCTAGCTCACCATCTCAGTCATTTCGGATTCGTCAGGCCCAGCATCTGCCTCAGTAGCATGCGCTGCAGCCGAACCGTTCTTATCTGCCCTCTTCAAGGCACCGGTTGTGGAATCCGCAACGTCCACTGACTCCCCTGTTACATGGGCGTCGGATACTGAAGATGTGGGTTGCGACAACGAACAAGAATCCGGCTCCGAAGATACCTGAGACCCAGTTGCCTAACCAATGAAAGGACACAAACAAAAGGAAGACTCACAACTACAATCAATACACCGAGTAGCTACAATCTGAGTGCGGGAAATGCAATATACAATGGAACAATACAAACACAACAATACGATATAAAAGTCGGATGAGGAACTTGTGCTTGTCAACGTTGTTACAAAACGGGGTGAGGTAAAAAGTCAATCGAGCCCAATCAACAGTGAAGGTCGGAGCACACATGAGGGCGTGAGAGTAAATGAACACCAGAAACCAGTCACATCGCAAATGGGATATGAAACTGACGGATTCGTTGATCGGATGCAAGTGGCTCTATAGATTAGCCGGAATTCGTGTGTGCGATGGAGAAATCACCGTTGCTACAAAGGATGAGACTAGAAGCAAAAACGTCGTCGCTTATGGAGGCGTGCGAACAATGTACACAGAACGATTCCGCTGGTCACACATGCTGTAACTTTCCGTGTTCCTTTTGCTGAAGGACCGACTTTTGGTGCAGAACAAGCAGGGTGAATCAGCTTTAAATCAAAAGCAGCCAATAAAAATGAGCATCCAAAGCACGATTCGAAGGGAAGGGATAAGAAAGGCCAGACGCGACAATCTAACATGAGACGACAGAGTTCAGTGGACGTAAAGACCACCAGTAAGAGATGACAGGCAGACCGCGTGTGAAAAAGGATTGCAGACCCACGTTCTTCACGCCACAAATTATCAATTTGTTTTTTCTCGTGGATACAGAGAGGAAAACGAATAGACACCAACATTCACCGACGACCAACAAACTACTTGACTGGAAAAACACAGCGATATACTTAATGAATCGCAGTAGGTATTCACCGGCACTTCCATTTTAACATGGCAAATATAACAAGGCTTTGTTGGTATGTGATGACCGCTCATACGTAGTACGTATACCAGCCAAAGCAACTTATGTGCTGCTATCTGTTGTTCTAAGAAACTAGCCTCATTATCAATGCCTAGTGCCTGCCTAGGCACATCATATTTGCGGACAAGTCGGTTCCACCCGATGCCAGTAATGGTTCGCAGGCAGCGATGATCAAAGACTTGAGGAAGCCTCAGATCCTCAAAGAAGGAGGCAAGTATTATTGTTATAGAGTAGAACGACTCTTAATGTGGTTTAGTAAACACGGCCTATCAGATCGAGGAAAACCACTTTTTGACACCATGTCGAAGATTCAAGGCAGTTCTAGCTATCGCAAAACGTGAACTGACATCAGTGCCTATGTGCCCATTGTTGCTGATGCAGCTGCCAATGTAAATGAACTACCTTGAGTTCATTGATACAAAGGGCCAAGGGGTCATCAAGTGGCTGGTAGCCTTGCAAAAACACTACACTTCGAAGGTGTGAACCGCATGCCAAATAATGGGACTACTCTTGAGATGTTAATCAGGGTTGACCTGGCCAACCAAACATCGTTACACAGTAAGACAATTTGGACCGCATAAACTAGAACAACTAGATGTTCACCAGGCAGCATCTCAACATCTGCATCGTGAGAATCTGCAAAGAAACACTACATAACGGAGTCTATGACGGAAGTGAACAAAAATGGGGAAACTAGACAACTCTGACCAACGCCAGTTGTTGTCGAAAAGATATCCGACAGGACACCATAGACACAGCTATTGTCTGCGGTACGTGTGACGCTGCTCTAGCATCTGACGCAGAGTAAATATATAGACAATACAACCCCGCCCTGGGCGGAAACTGCCTGCTTTTCCCTAATTCGGGATTCCCGTTCCGCAATGACGCAACAAACTACAGGAGAGACATGGTATATACCATGACGCTTGGTGTCCCATCCACATAAATGCGGCTACCGAGGAGCGTCCCACAAGCTGAAATGTTTGCAGGGGCCGGAGTTGTCCAGCAGTTTAGTAGAAACATTTCTGCGTTTTCGGTCTCGCCAAAATTTCAAGTGTATCAAATATAGAGATAATGGTTCCACAAATCATAGTCAGTGATCCGAAGTGGAATCGCACCATCTTTCCATGGTGGAATAAGGGTGATTATGGGTACTTCATATAGAATATTGTAACACAGTCCGCGCGCATGCAGCCACCTCGTCAACAAGCAATGCAAACGTTGCATCATGTCACTGATCGATTACCTTCTGAACGATGCGCGTAGGCTTACACCTGTGACTTCTCTACGATTGGTATGACTTAGTCAACCCCGGTTGTTCCACCTATCACTTCGAGTATTTCTACAGAGATGAACCTGAGTTGTCGAACTGGAAGAATATTACATATATTGGCGACCCTGCCAGGATGTTGAAAATAATGGAAAAGTCTTCTGAAGTGCATGTTGGAGTTGCAGGAACTGCTGAGACGGAGCCATCCACCCTTCTAACAAAGCTGCCAAGTACCTTAGAGAACATTGTTTGTTGACCTATACTCATCCAGAATCTTCCCGCGATTCTCCTTGCAAAAAATTTGCTGATGGCATGCACTACCTCAGATGGACGAAGCAAGCATCAGCGTATATTTCCCAGAGGCTATGCGAGGAAATATTATGCCAGGGTTACTTGAGAATGAAGCTTCTGTAGTTGTGACCGATAGCAAGATATTGGAGAAATAGGTTAATGCAGGTACCTTCGAGGAGCTCACGTGGATCCCGGACTTGCCACTGCTTCCTAAGCAATGGCGAGAAGCAATGCACTCTCGATACCAAAAACCGGACGAGAATCTGAGGGCTTTCTTTCGGGATCTGAAACGCTTTGCAAGCGCGCGTTCGCAGGCCAGAATCGTGAGGCACAAGAGAAAAGTATTTTGGAAAAGGTGATGGAAGGAGTACATACACCGTCTATCAAACGAAACTTCGTGTTACACCCACCACAGAAATTGGGTGAGGCTCTGGAACTGGCTGCGAAACTTGAGGGCGTGGATACAGCTATGGGTGCGTCAATGAGTTGTGTTGAACGAAAAGATCTTATCATCACCAACCGCCCAACTGTCGAATCGGGCAGAAGCTTACAGAAAAATGATCTGCGTCACCTGAAGTTCGGGCTACCGCGAACACTCGTGAGCAAAACCGATGAGGTGGGTCCCGAAGGTGTTCCTTTACTGTGCCGGCTGTAGCTAGCATGCATTGTGCGGCTGTCCTCTTCGTGTTTGGATTTTTGTGGTCTAATCGGATCAAAATGTTGTTTGACACGGGAGCCACATACTCTCTTGTTCGAAAGCGTATCGTTCCAACAGACGCAGGCATTTTCCAAGACAGTTCAGTGAATTTGATGGAAGCCAACAAGACCGCTGTCAAACTCATGGGTTGGACCACAGCCAAAGTAAAGCCAGGAGAGATTCCAGTCACCCATCGTTTTTATTGTCAGTGATCTTCCGTGGTATGTAGTGTTAGGAATGGACCTCCTTACCCGTATTGCGAAGGATGAATGAAGAGTTTGGACACCCAGGACTGAATAAAATGGAGGTTGCAATTCGAGGTCGGTTCTGGTGGCCCCATCTACGACGCCGCTTGATTAGGAACAACCAGAGTGACGACTTCCGCCGCCCCAGGGAAATGGGTAGCGATCACGGGACACAGATCGAAGCCGTCACTTTCGAAAAGTCACCTGCACACCGATCACGGATCGACAATTCAATCAGCGAGACTACACTCCACATCTCAACACACCGATGATGCCGCCTCGTATGGCGGTGAAACGTTTGAAAACAAATTTCCCAGCTCGGCGAACGAATGAGCAACTAAATTAACAACTCGAGCTACCAGTTTTCTGAAACATTTTAAATGACTTGACGTTGCTTTATACTGCCAGGCGTGCGTCGACCACGCATGGATCAAAAACCCCACAACCACCCGTCGCGGTCCGTTGCAGCCAATGACGGCTGGATTTCCAAACAAGATCGCATCGACATCGTTGGCCCAATGCCAGTGACTGCTAGAGGCCATCGTTACATTCTGGTTATCGTGAAACACTTTACCAAATGGTGTGAAGTAGTACCCCTTCAAAAAGCAAACGCAGCGAGTGCGGCACTAGCCTTCTTCAGCAATTGGGTTGCAAGGTGGGAAGCTACCTAACAGTTACACTCAGACCACGGAACAGACTTTGAGAACATGCTCATGAGCGAGCTGTGTCAGCTTTCCGCATCCGGAAGACAAGGACTAATGCGTATCATCCGGAAGGAAACGGGCTAGTTGAGCGCACCAATGAAGGTGTTACTACAGTCGTTTCGGAATAGTGAAATACCTCACGAATGGGACACAGCCCTACCTAAAAATTTACTGGCTTATAGAGCATTTGTCCACTCATCGACCGGTCAAGCACCACACCTTAGGATGACTGCACATGAGCTGCGCCTACCGTCAGATACCCCACTGCCAAGGTCACATCATGAACCTTTAATCGGTTACAGTCGAGTCTGTTCCGTGCCCACCAGTGGGCACATGCGCATTTGCGGACATCACAGCGACAACAGAAAGCTAGTTTTGACCGAAAGGCTTTCGGAAGACCGTTCAAACTTGGTGATGCTGTCGGGCTTAAATCAGCGGTAACATTATCGGGCGTTCCTGCGAAATTTCCATCGAAATTGCGAGGGTCGTTCGTCGTGCAGGGAGTATCGTCGAATCTGAATTACCGAACCATGAAGTCCGCCGCGCCTAGTTCCTGAATGGTTGTACATCACAACAGGCTGAAACTACATAAGGACGTCTCAGGCGCGGAGGACAGTCAGTTCGAGGGGTAACAATGTAACGCAAGACTTTTTGTTTGGACTTTCTCAGTCGTCCAGCTCGGTGTGACCTTGGCACGTGTTTGTTTTCAGCCATCGGATTAATCAAACTACATCGGCGAATCCGATCGATTAGCTTTTGAACGGTACGCGTAGGCTTACACCTGTAATCTCTCTGCGATTAGTATGACTGATTTAACGCCGGCTGATTAGTGCTATTTGTTCTGCCCATCACTTCGAGTTTTGCTATATAGAAGAATCTGGGGTACCGGAACTAAAAGAATATTACTATCTGGTTGGCCGCATCCGGTTTCGGATGTGCCTGTCATTGTAGCCAACCACAAGACGCCTGCGTCTACAGAGCGACCATAGACGACTTGCGCTGCACCACCCACAGCTTTATCCACACACCCATATCCAGTGTACATCCGAAGGAAAAGGACCGGGAGGTATACGGATGAGAGCCACGTTTCATCAACAATGCTGGCCTATACTCTTTCATAGGCAAACACAAGCACACTGTATTTGGAGGATCAAGCGTACACAAGATAGTGTCTGAACAGTAGTCCGCTCCACACTGAGTGCACGGAACCGCTCTTTGAGCCTAGCACGGCCACAAGAACCGTGCACCCCGTCCCCTCCAGCAACGACCAACTGTCTCCTGGAGCCAGTATGAACGATGTAGTGGGTAATAGACAGGTAGGCACCTTGTCAACATGCACATCAAGCGCAGCCACACCGAGGATATCAAGCAACAGCCGATCACTTGAAATGACATTATCAAATAAAATATATCTGTTAAAGCATACTGCTATGCAGATAACTCTTCGGTAAATAAGCATATGAAGTTGGTTAGCAATGAATCCGCGATAAGTACAAAGTGTCCAATAGTTACTTTAAAATGCTACAAAGGCAATAAAGCTAAGGAATATAACCACAATTAGTAAAAGCAAGGTGTACAATTTAAAAGAATTATTCAGGTGGGCAAAACAAACCAAATAAAGTGGAATGAAATTTATCCAGCCTAAAAGACCGAATTTATGTGTGAATTGGTTTACTAAAACTGCGGTGGGAAACCATCAGAAATTAAACATATATATATATATATATATATATATATATATATATATTTGTAAGTGCGTCCTGTAAGCTAATTCCGGAAAGGTATTTACCGATTGCTTCGAAATTTTGACACAACTTTGCATCCGATTACTATTAGGTTTATAGACGTATTTCTGGTAAAGATGTCATTTTCAGCGTAATATTTTAGTGTTCCAATGTGGCTAGGTTTGCACTACTTATGAGTAGGGGGAGCTTTTCAGTTGGAATACAATCCACATAGGTTAACTAGTTCGTGTGCCAGCGTGGAAATTGAGCTGTATGGAGAACACGGCGTGAAGGAGAATTCGATGGTCTAAGTGATCAAACGCTGTTGAGAAGTCCAAGTAGATGACATCGACTCCAGCTCTATCATCAACGGCTTCAGTCCAGCCATTAAGTGTAAGTAATCGGTCGATTGTACATGAACGCCTTTGACGCAAACCAGGTTGTTATGGGGCTATTAAGTTGTGGCTTTCCAGACACTGCATCAGCTATGATTGATTCCATAACTTCGGATAGTATAGGAAGTAGCGTCATTGGACGGTAGTTGGTAGGGTCAGTGCACTACCTCCCTCATAGATAAACGTGATGACCCCTCGCTTTCATACTGGTGAAATATGGTTCGCTTCTAGACATCGCTGATAGAAAACGGCTATTGGTTCTGCTAAATCACTAGCTACTGTCTGCAGAACCTTCGGTCGAATGCTGTCGACTCCAGGAGAACTGTGTATATGCAAGGATAACAACTTCTACAACACAGCTTCCGCACTGAACGTGATGCTGTATATACTCGACGGTGGAGTAATAGAAACGAGAAGAATGTGTGGGCTGGTGAGCTGATGGAAAGTTGGGGAGTACTGAAGCCGTAGGAGATTGGCTGCTTCCATTGCTGACAGCGTGCATCCATCAGCCATGATCAGTGCTGAAATCCCGAGCCGTTAACGCGACTGAACAGAAGTTTGCGCTCCGTGCAGTATCGCTGATGCATGAACGCAGAAGTTACGATGTGTCACGTACGCAATCCAGTTTTCGGCATTCAGGAATTCCTTGTGAGCTCGCTATGCCAAAATCCTCAGCGACATACATTTACGTGTTCTGCCCCTCAGAAATGACCAATATTTGTTTTTACGCTGGAAGGGCTTCTGTTCCGATGCGTGTGCTACCAGTGTGTTAAACCTCCTTGTGAATGTTTCCCAGACAATGTCTGGGGGGCATTCGGTTAAGAAACTCCAAGATGTATCCTTAGCAAGCGCAGATAACACGTGACAGTGTGCACTTTATCATCCTCCTTTTCAGGATATTCCACATAGCATATAGAGTCAAAGAGTAGAGTAACATGATCACTATGACTCAGTGGTGTGCTTGTAACTATCCCGTCGACCATGAGTTCTTCGTTAATGAGCATAAGATCGAGTACCGACGGCTTGTCAGCAGTTCGAAATCTGGTGGGAAAGGTTACTTGGTTGTACAGAGGGTGGCTAGCAATTAGCTCTTGCAAACAGGCTTTAAACTGTGCATCATCGGTCGCTGGCGTTTCCATGTCGCGCACATTGCAGTCTCCAATGATAAGAATATGGGTGTAGGACTTGTTCAAAGCAAACTGAAAGACGTGGTTCCGTTTAGAGTCTATTTTCGACGTTGAATTTGGTGGGCGATAAATTACGGATAGTAAACATGTGTCCTTGTTCCGCAACCGTAGACGTCACGTTAAGACGTTAAAAATAACTGTAAATATGCGTGTCAAGCTTCAATACGATCACTCAGCTGAGGTATTCTCACTTCAATTACTGGAAAGTTGCCCGTTTATCTGATCTCAGGAAGAATTTCATTGCGCTATAACTTATGCAATTTGCTGACGTCAAAAGAAGAACTAGTGTAAAAAGTATTTCCTAATATTCAAACCAATTATCGGAATCATCATTGGCTGAGTGAACGAAAATCGACACACCAACTATCAACCAGCCAAAGCTTTGTAACGGCACGCGGCTTGCAGTAAAAGGATTACTCAACAACGTCGAACAGGCAACAATCTTGACCAGACCTTTCCAAGGTGAACATGTCCTCATTCCCTGCACTCCGATGATTCCTATTGATATGCCACTTCAATTTATGAGACTGCAATGCCCTATTCGTTTGCCGATGGCAATCATAATCAACAAAGCTCAGGGACAGTCTTTTGAAGTGTGTGGGGGTTAGATATATGCATCGACTGCTTCTCACATGGACAATTACATGTTGCGTGTTCTAGAGTCGGCAAAGCTACCAATCTCCATATCTACAGAAAACGTGGTCTACCCACAAATGATGAGAAAGGAAATTTTGTACACAGCCAAGAATTTCTGATTTAACATTTTCATTTAACCAGACAACGGAACAGCAAACACAACGACTGCTTCTCACATGGTGCATGTACCAGAAAAGGCAAATCTGACAATATCCATAGGTGCACCGACAACATTACAACACAAAATGTTGTATAACCACAAGAGTTGTGAAACTACATCTATTACGAAGGTGAGATTAACTTCCTTAGTTTTCATGCAATCAGACAACGGTACAACTAACAAAATTGCATATCAACAAGTATTTCGGAACATCAGCGATTACAAAGGTCAGATTTCCCTATTCATTCATTATCAGTTACCCTCACTGAGACACAGAAACGCGTGGTCCGGTGCAGGATATATATATACTACGACTAAATAAGGTTTAGCATAGTTGCGCCGCCTCAAAGATGACGCTTATATTGTTGGCGCAATAAACCGTGTTGCGGATGTAGGGTGCGTCCATTTAAAAATGTAGTGCGTTTTTCTTGTACTCACAGAGATACTGGCAAATAGACTAGCTCCCATTTCGGATACTCCACATCGCGGCACGTGAGCGTTAACATATTTCAGCTTTCGAAACTCTCGGAAACAGGTTGGGCAGGTCAGTGGTGAAGTTGCACCACCGGCTGTCGAGTCCCCGTTCGTGTCAGTGAGCGGTGTAGTGGTTGCGACAACATCACGTGTGAGCTAAAGTTCCACAAAAGAAAGACAAAAAATGTGAAGCAGACGTATGAAACAGCAGTTGGACGGAAAACAGGATGTGTAACAATAAACTGCCAGTTGATGAGTGCGTACTGGGTACTACCGACAGACGATAAGCACTACTAGGTGTATTCGTGTGCAACAATCCACTGAGGAACATTTTGTGAAGTGCGAAGAGTGTGGAAATATGCAGCACCAAATTGCCATCAAACAAATGGGATGTGTACAAAGTGATAAAAGATGAAAAATAGAAAGTGCACTTTAGCGATCGCGAGTCAGCCTCAATTTAGTTGCTACGAATCGAAGCTCAAGGAGGCGGTCTTGGAGTAAGTCTTGGCAGAAAACTAACAAAGGGATGAAGCAGGACAAAGTGTAGAGTACGTTTAAAAAGATTTTAAAATCAAGATGCCCATTTGTTGTAAACACTATCAGCTTGTTATCTTGTGAAATTTAGTCAGCCCTAGAAAAAGACCTATGTTGGACGTCTTACACCTTAAAATCATAATCCACCTTGTGGATCACGGTAACAATAATGATAAGTATCAAAATCAAGCCCGCTGATTCCAGATATGCTGTTCATAAGGAATTGCCGAAGAAAACATGAAGAACACTACAACAGCGTATAAAGCAAAAGGATTGCAAAGAAACCAGCAGAAAGTCAGGGTGCCGTGAACGGAACAGGTCACATTTGACCAGTAGGGGCCAAATCATTACATGTTTGGTGATCCGACTCTCAGTGTCAACCACATACACACAGTGAGTAGACCACCCAGGCCAAGCTCCAGAGGTGGCTCGTCAAAAGAGCAGTTACAACATGCGCAGTGCGGTGGATCGTTCAGAGGTGCTGTACTATCTCTGCTGGAAAAGCAAAGTAGCGTCTCATCCGTCGGAAAACAAGAGAGCACACACAAGTTACGATGTATTGACAAAAGATAACAAAAAGCACACAAAAGACAAACCACTACCTTCGTTGGTGCTTGAGGACACTTGCGTAAGTGAATCCTTAAAAAACGCGGCTGTAAGAACTGACGACAACAGTAAGGACATAAAATATCCTTCGAGGAGGTAAAACTGTCAGAGGCAGAGTGGGAATTAAATTCAGCCGGAGATGGTTCACACAGAGAATTCGGGGTGTCGTTAGAGCGCTCTTCCGGTCTCGGCACAGGAGGAGGAGACTGGAATAAAAAGTGAAAACTGATGTCTAGGAATCATCGAGTAAAGCACAGGTGCGGTATACGAAGTATTACCCAACGGATACAAAGATAAATGCGCACAAAGGTAGGAATGAGCGCGCGGAACGTTAGAAACCGAAGACAATCGAGAAGTGGTTGAGGTGCGAGTGGATCAGTACAGACACTTCACTGTGAAGAGCAAAAGCAATATGGGATAAACGTAAACGATGGGCTCAAAAACAAGTGTCGAGAGAGTTGGCGCACGGTAGAAATAGTGAAATGAAATCACATTCGGATTAAGCAGCTGATCAATGAATAAAGGCAGGGGTGAATAGTTATCAACAGAGAGCAAAACGGTGAGTGGCAAGTTTGCATCACCCTTCGAAAGTAGGCCAGTACTTGGCAATGGGGCGTTGTCCGCCTTTTTTGTTGTGTGTGTATACCCACCAATCGTACTGAGTGGTGCGATTGCACGCTGCAACTTTTGAAGTGCATTCACGTGTCTGTAAATAAGGCTGTGGTTCGAACAGAATTGTTTCGCTAGCTCTAATCGGTGTGATAACTTGTTTTCACGAAACAACTGTACATATTAATTGCTCAAAGCTACGTACGCTGTCTCATTCTCCGCAACAGGATTGCTTACGTGAAAGCGTCATGTGTTCCACTAAGACCATAAATCTTCTCATGAATAATGTTGGTTTCATGCGTTGGTGGAAGAATTTTGCTCCGAATACGGACAGAACCAGATAAATACATTGCATTTTTTCGGTCCTGCATCGGGGTACAATTCGTAGTAGCAAATGAAATCAAACCGTACAATTCTGTGTAGCCTTTTGTTGGGAGTTCTTAAAATAATAGTTGGACAAGCTTGACTGAGTGCATCCTAGAGATAGTCTGGGAGAAATGGTTGAAAAGCACGTCACTAGTCACTAGTCGGAGCAAAATTCTTCCACCAACGCATGAAACCAACATTATTCATGAGAAGATTTATGGTCTTAGTGGAACACATGACGCTTTCACGTAAGCAATCCTGTTGCGGAGAATAAGACAGCGTACGTAGCTTTGAGCAATTAATATGTACAGTTGTTTCGTGAAAACAAGTTATCACACCGATTAGAGCTAGCGAAACAATTCTGTTCGAACCACAGCCTTATTTACAGACACGTGAATGCACTTCAAAAGTTGCAGCGTGCAATCGCACCACTCAGTACGATTGGTGGGTATACACACACAACAAAAAAGGCGGACAACGCCCCATTGCCAAGTACTGGCCTACTTTCGAAGGGCTACTAGCCTCCAACGTTATACTTGCTTCTGCCCCCACACCATCAGTGTTATCCAGCATCAAATTCATAGCAAAAAAGTTCTGAAAAAGATACTATCCTTGCGTACACACAGCTTTCCTGGTGTGCATAACCTTCATCCTAAAGCACTGCAGGCAGCAGCCATGCACCTAGCCCATCCACTTGCCGGATTCTTTCAGAGAAGTCCGTCCGATCCTACCAATTGCCGTCCGGTAACACTTCTCTCTGCCCTTTCCAAAGTCATGGAAGCGATCATCGTTGTCGTAATGACGGGCTACTTGGAAAACGAAAGCGATGCATTATTAGAATGGGTTGGTAATTTTCTCCGTGAACAGCAGTTCTAGGTCATAGTCCGCTCCAGCAAATAGTTCGGTGGCAATGTTCCAGGACGTGGTGGGTTTTCGCCTGACAAGCGTTCTCCCTATAAAAAGCCACAAATGTCTGCTTAACAACACTGTGACGTGGCGGTCGTGACTCGCCACAAAATAATGTCACTGCCCCGTGGATATTTGGATAATTCTATCCAACCTACGGACACCAATCTCCTACTCGCATGTTGATGACGATATCAAACAATGAAGATTGGAGCAGCACAATTACAAGCACAAAGTACACAGCTACATACACATACACATACAATGACATAATTACATACGCCCTGTACAAACGCACACCGCTATGGCAAACATATCGGATTTTCGCACATTCTTGAGCATGCATTGTTATGTCAAAAGGATCACACCTGTAAAGGCGTGCCTCACTTTGTTGATAATAAAAGCTTTATTTATTCATGTATTTATTTATTCAACATCTCTGCCCGACCCTACTCGAGTGGAGTGCGACGGTCTTGCGAAAGCCATCCCCTCAAAAAATTTACTTTTCCGGATGACGTTAAAATTTGGTCTGCGATCAAGGGAATGGACAACCACAAGTTCCTCCATGTGCGACCTAGATGGAACCTGACATTGACCGGTGAGGGATTCACTGCCATTAAATGTGGTCAAGTGACACATTATCCACATCCGCCATAGACATGCCTATCTCTAGAATATTGGGGCATATGACCTGCAGACAAGCCCTCAGGAACTTGATCTCGGTGTGCTGGTGCAGGACGACTTCGGTTATTCCAGACAGTCGGAATCCAAAGTGGTAACCAGCACGTTGTTAGCTTGCGGATGGCATTCGAAAGTTTGGATTCCTTCACCTTCTCTGTGATGCTCCATGCCTACGTGCGTCAACACGTCGAACACGTAATCCAGGCTTGACACGCTTGGCTAAACCGTGACCTTGTAGCGCTTGAGACTCACCATAGTCGAGCAGCGACTAAAAACACTCGGAGTTTTCAGTAGACGCTACAGGTGGCTACGTGGAGACCACATATTAGTCTACCAGATACGAAACGACCCCACGTACACATTTTGCCACCTACTGCAACTCATCCCGAACAACAACTTTATAGGCAATAGCCTGAAACTGAGTCAACAACACAGTCGGCTTTTCATTAAGGCCGGACGAACCTCAGCACAAAGCGACTCAGTGATTTCGCCATAAGTAGCCATCGAACGTTTCGGTGCCTTCGCTGTTTATGTGCTCAACGACAGTCTGGACGTTAAGAATTCTATCCGACCGGACGCATCATTAGCACCATTTACCAGCGGACCAGTTTAGTCGTTAACACATTTGTGAAAAGGATAAGTATATTAACAGAAATGTATTGGAACGATCATCTATACTAGTGAAGGATATGTTCAAAATGTCCGCCGGCATTCTGCTTACAGTGCAGAAACCGCTTGATGCAATTGGCGAACACTTTCTCCAATGTATCCCTCGTGATCGTGCGACATTCGTTCACAATATTTTCTTTCAATTGATCCAATGTACGCGGCCTTGTTTTGTACACTGGTTGCTTTAGACAGCCCCATAGAAAAAAGTCCATGGGGTTCAAATCTGGTGAGCGAGCAGGCCACTCCATTGGTCCACCGCGTCCGATTCAATGGTGGCCAAATTTGTCGGTGAGGTAAGCACGCACCGTTTTAGCAGAATGTGCAGGTGCACCATCCTGCTGCCACCAAATAGTACTGCATGCCCCTTCGGCCTCCAACTGGGGAAGCACAAATCTCTGCAGCATTTCCAAATACGACGATGCTAGGAAAATATAAGGCTTTAGTACTACAAAACAACAACCTACCGGTCACATTCCCGGAAAAGAAATATGGGCCCAAGATTTTCTGGCTTGTTAATCCGGCCCAAACCATCAGTTTCACACTGTGGTTCATACGTGATGCGGTAAATTTTCGTGGGTTGCTGGTAGCCCAACAGTAATGTTTCATTGTTCCATGCAGATGGAACAATGCCTCATCTGTAAAGATAACAGAACGAATATCCCCGTGATCCAGAAACCAGCGGCAACATGCATGCCGCTTCTCCGGATCGCATGGATTCAAAACCTGCACTTAAAGTGCACGGAATCTCCGAAATTTTCGTTCCAGTAATATCCGGTGTACCGCATATCGCGTCGTGTCACAGTGCTGTGCGATCCGACGAATGCTGAGATCGGGACTTTTTGACACTTCACTGACCACAGCGCAAGCTGAACAGTCGTCCGTGGTGATGCGAGGCGGTCCGGTTCTCTTCATGTCACACACACTCCCAGTTTGCTCGAACTTCTTCACTAGTTTAAGCACATACCGGGCGGTGACGGGATGCATTCCTGCGTTCATTGCATTGTATTTTCTTGAAGCTGATGCGGCGTTTAAAGCGCATTCACTGTACAGCCGTATAATCAGCGCGCGCTGAGTAACAGGAACGTTACATGATCACGACTGCATTGTCAGCTCGTGCTCCATTACCTGTGATTCAATAACATTGGCAAGAGTTGCAATGTCTAACCTCGTCCTCAGCTGAGCTGCTATCACGTGCGCACATTCACGTGGCAGTTTTGTTGGCTTAGGCGGAGTGTTGCGTAGCCAGCGAGACACACAGCGATAACCGTCGATCGCTCCAACGCCTACGGTTGGCCATGACCTTCAGCACGCAGCGCGAAGTTAGCTGACAGCAGGAAACATGTTGTGGCTCGCTCGTTGATCAACAGCCTCATGCCAGTGTGTCTTTAGAGGTTAGGCTTTTCCTCAGCTGAGCCCTGCACTAAATCACTCGTCTGCCGAGAATTCCATACGTCCGCACCACTAAAGTGAGAGAGAAATTGATATCTCTTGACGCGCAGTAGCATGCTGCGAATTTCGCTAAACAATGGATGGCTATTGGACGTTGGGGACAACAACCGTACATGACTGGCGTTCACCATAAGGGAGCCACGGTAGGTAAATAAACGCTAATCGGCCTACTTCCATCAGACTAACCATATGTGGCTTCTGAAAATAGTCCGACACTACTGGGTCGAAATGTCATGTTTGTCTTAACATAACGCGGCCCATCGATCGAATGCGCAACACGCGCCTAGAACCCTCGACGCTTAAAGGTCTACGTCCCAAACTGTTCACTTTAACTATTGGCGAGACTTCTGCGACGAAACACAAATCCTCGCATATATCTAGGCTTGTGAAAAATGGCACCGGTTTGGTCGGACGCTTACGCTGCGTACAGAACATCACACTAGTGGACGAGTGCAAATTTGAAGCTAGACAACTGTACACGGCCCAACAACCGAATGCAGTATCACGGTCCAAAAATGAGGGCGCA